TAGATTTGTCAGGGCCACCTATTTTTCATTAATTTTATCTATTTTGACTGTTAAAAATAGTTGATGGTTGATAAAACAATTAATATTTATTATTTAACATATTGAAATCAATTTATAAAAAAATATTTTCAAATATCATAATTATTTGTTTAAAAAAAAACTATAAACTGTGAATCCATGATGCATGCAAAAGCCAAGATTTTTAATAAAAGGTTTTTATCTATACTAGTCATTTCTTAATGTTCCTTTATTTATTTATTTGTTTGGAGGGGGGAGGGGGGAGAGGGTTGGGTGGGTTATAAGTCACTAGTGATTGTTTTGGATTTATGATTTAGGGATAGTTATGCATCCTCAGTTTTGTGCTTCATATATATATATATATATATATATATATATTTCACTGACAGGACCGGACTTAAAAACCGGTTTTCTCCTCATCTTCTCTGTGGTTCAAAGAGTTTACATATCATATAAGCTTCTGGAAGAGTATTTCCCAAACTGTTCTGAAACACAACTGAGCATGTCTAATTTTCTCTCATTCTTATTGCAGCTCCGTGTCCATTGTGCTGAAGCTCTTGGGACTCCAATAGTTGGTGACTACAAGTATGGCTGGTTTGTGCATCGGCGGTGGAAGCAGATGCCTCGTGTTGACATTGAGCCAACAACTGGAAAACCATACAAGTTACGGAGGCCAGAAGGTCTAGATGTTCAGAAGGGAAGTGTCTTGTCTAAGGTCCCCTTGCTGCATCTGCATTGTAGAGAGCTTGTACTTCCTAACATTGCAAAGTTCCTTCCAGTGTTAAATCAGAAATCAGAAAAACTGCCTCCTGGTCTTAGCTCAAAGCCAGACGTCCTTCGCTTTGTAGCATCAATGCCTAACCACATGAAGATCAGTTGGGATTTGATGTCATCCTATTTGGTGTAGTCACCATCCAAGCTCTACCCTTTGACGCCTCCCAAATCAGTCTTCGTTACCCTTTTTTTTATTTTATTTTATTCTTCTTGATGGTAAAGAAGTACGTCTCACAAACTCTCAAGTCTCCGTTTACCCTAAAAAAAAAAGGAAGAAAAATAAAAAGGAAACTCTTTAGTCTTGTCATATACCTTACAAACAGTGAAAACAGAATCTAGCACAAGCTTTTTGTACAATGACAAGGTGAGCCAATAGAAAACTAAGGTCAATGTTCGGTCAAGTTTTTTAACAACCATTTGCGTGAAGCAGGGGGGTGGGATCTGGAGCTTATGTAAATAAAGATAGTAATTTTTTATTTTTTATTTAATAATATTAATTTTATTAATTTTTAATTTATAAGTATTAATTTTTAATTTTTTATTTAAAAAGTACGTTGATAGTGATGTTGGAGTGAGACGTTGAAGGTTGATGATTTTAAATAAAAAAATTAAAAATTAATATTTTTAAATAAAAAAATTAAAAAATAATATTTTATTTAAAATTTGATAATATTAATATTTTTAAATTAAAAAATATAAAATTAATATTTTTATTTATATATTTACTTGATCTGGATAAGAGAGACCCTTTCTTGATGATAAAACCCACTCCGATGCCATGAGAAATTTTAAAATGTGAGCCAAAACAAGGTGAAGTTTGAACTTTGAACTCAAAATAATTAGTGATAGTTGGAATAGCTTATCTTATATTTAAGTTCTATGTTTCTTTATTATTTCATTAGTATGTGATTTTTCATCTAAGTGCTAACCTAATATTCACTTGTCTAAAGTTCAATCTTTATTTATGGATCCATGAGCCATTATGAGTATATGCATGTGGTTATTAACTAATTAATTAAGAATAATTTATTACATGTATTTTAGCTTTAAAAAAGTGTTGCACACTTACACTTTGCATTGCATTGAATTATATAAGTTAAATGATTAGA